TCTTTTCGCGGCTAGATGCACGGTACCGCTTGCCTTTGACCTGAAATTTAACGCTCCCCGTCGAAGGTTAAATAATTCATAGAGCCCCCCGTCGATCTGTATCCTTTGCGAACACTGAAGAAGTCATTAATGTATCCCAGATTCGTTATGGACGTTCGACGCGCGCGCGAGCTATAATCGACCGATGGGAATTTTGATTCCTGGAACGTTTTCCGAAGATCATGCAGCGTTCCCATTGGCGGGAGGGACATAACCTCCAGGCTCTGAAATTACACGGGAGCCAACAACCGTATCTGTTCATTTCGACCGTACTTGGCTACCTAGTTGCATCAAATTCGAAAACGCCTCGGCTGTTTCGCCGTTACGCGGGTGTGCAATTTGCATCGTATCCCGGCCGGTTACACGAACGACTTCATATCGCGGCGAAGTTTCAACCGGGAATCATACGGGGGCATTAGAGCCAATTAGTGAAACCTTTTATCATACCAATCCCGCGTGGGAAACGGACGAACGGAAAGTATGGAAATGATATTCGTTTTCGATACAGCATGCAGAAGTGTTCGATATGTGTTCTATTTCTTGATACTTTCTCGCGACAGGTAGGGGAGACCGGGGCAAAGTGGCCCTAAAACAGTTTAAAGTGGAATACAATTTTTTCTTTTCAATACAAATGTGTGCGGATAATTTTATAATATAATTTAAATATTACTGTTGACAAATTGAGTGTACCAATACTTTAGACGAATTTGATACATTTTAAAACTCAACTTGTATGGGGTAATGTGAGCTACTATCGGGGGTAAAGTGAGCTGAAATAAAATGACTTTTAACCCGTAACCAGCGTCGTCCCATTTTTGTATCTTAAATAATTTGACATCGTCAAGCCTACACTTATTTCTTATATATACTGGAGTTATATATAATGTTTAATTTTTACTATTTTTATGAAGGTACGGAAATCTACGTGTTGTTTTGTACTAATTGTTTAGTACCTGAATATGCATAGTTATCGTCGTTAGATTATATAACTTCAGTATGTTACAAGAATTTGTAAATATATTCCATTTTCAAATAAATAATTGAAGAAGCTCACTTTACCTCAAGGCTCACTTTGCCCCGGTCCCCCCTAATTGATAAATTCAATTTTTTTGAAAACGAACTATTGTACAAAAGAATGTGATTCTATGTACATTTTTGAATTATTTTACATGAAGAATCACATCCTTTCGGGTTTTACTACCATTTCAGAAACACTCTGTACTTATTTTTGGCTTTTTTAAATATATAGTGAAGAACTAAATTAAATCAATACTGAGAAACAAATAGAATCATGCATATAGCTAAAATTAGCAAAAATCGCAATTTCTCAAGTTTACCATGAGACGACAATATAAAAGGTGATGCACCTAAAATAGGCCACCCGAATATCTTGGCTGTTACTGGTGATAGAAAAAAATTTCAGACTAAATTTGCATGGTATCGAGGAGCATATAATTTCATGTAAATAGTTTTTTGACAGATGGATATAATCGCAAGTATAAATGATCCCATTATTAGATAAGATTCATTTACCGTCCCTCATACATATTATAAATACCACCCGTATTCCAATCAAACAGAAAAAGAAGCATATTACACATTTAAGGTTAAACCTCGCGTTACCTATAATTTCCATAAAATCGAAAAACCCTAAATATCATTCAATGTTTCGCGTTCCAATCTCAGAAATACACCGACCAAAACATTCAGATCGTTTATCCTTGGACCATCCCGCGTGCTATAATTCTCTCAGTGTCATCGTATCAGTTCCCGTTGAACCGGCGGGAGACAGTTTCATAAATCCGCACGCGTCTCTTCCGCGAAATGGAAAAGCAAACGAGTAGACCCGGCAATTCATCGCCCCCCCCCCTTTCCCCCGAGTGCAACGACTCGGATGCACCGTTTGCCGACAACTAGAACTCGATTCACGTTGCACACGTATAGAACCGTAGCCGCGTGCGCGCGTCACACGTCGTCGGCGGTCCCGTGTAGCCTCCGTAGCTGCGGCGGTACCGCATAACTGCATCTAAGGTGCGTTCCTTCGCCTCCCCCGTCCCCCCTTCCCCCCCACCCCTTCCATAGCAGCATCCACACGGATCGGAGTACCAGGATTGGCGCTCGAGCGCATATACGTGCGCGCACGGACGCGCTATTTGCCCGGCAGAAACGATCGAAAAGTGGGTCAACGGCTGCCTGAATGCCTGGCACACACTCGCTTGCCTGGACGGCCGACTGGCTGGCTGGATCGCTCTTGGCCGCCTGTTGCGTCTCAAGCCAGCCGCTTTCTCTTCTCTTGCGCGGCGCAACGACTCCGTCGATGGAATTCTAACGCTTACGTATCCACCTACCAGCCACCTTGTTGGGCCCCCCTCGACTCCCTTTTGTCGAGAGGTGTTTGACGTTCTGGGATTTTCCGGACAATTTGCTTCCTCCTTTCTGTTTGGGCCTGGAACGTCGAGCGAAATGTTGTGCCCTTTGTCGAGACGTGGTTAATGTTCAGGGAATTTCCAACTAATTTGCTTTATTGTAACTGGCTGGACCTGGAACATCGCAGGAAATATTGTTGCTTCCCTGTTAGGCGAAACAATGTTGCTCCCTTTGTCGAGGGGTGGTTAACGTTCTGGGATTTTCCGGACAATTTGCTTCCTCCTTTCTGTTTGGGCCTGGAACGTCGAGCGAAATGTTCTTCCCTTTGTCAAAAGCTGTCCAATGGAACGTTCAGTCCATTTATTTCCTTGTTTCTGTTTCGACTTCGAATCCCAATGAAGTGACGCTACAATGTGTCTGCTAGGGGATGATCGTGTTTGGGGACTCTCTAAGTGCTTCTGTAGAGATAGCTGTGATGATATATAGACTCGTCAGGGTTGTTTGAAACGTTTTATAATTCTATTTTACTGTCTGAGGTTTATATTAGTAATTCTCTTGAGATAGGTTCGGAACAAAATGTAAAATATTGGGAGTGACACTTTTTGATTACTAGACTGTGAATTTATGTGTAGGCTATCAATATATAAAATCTGCAGTTTATTGATTACATTTTCACTATTCGTTAACGCTGAAAAGACTATTGAAAGACATTTTTGTTAGTAGTTTAATGATAGTTAGCGTCAAGATATTTTATGAGATAGTAATAATTAGAGTCCGAATATTTCTGCAAATTTATCCGTATGGACTGATTGATAGAAGATTAAACTTAAATAGATTCTAATAAAGTCTGTCACAAAATGTTAGATAAATTCTAATAAAAACGAAACTGGATTTTAATTAACTTTTTAATACATCAGATTCCAAATAAGAGGATTTGGTTCGGTTCAGTTTCGCATCTGATGAATCCATCACTATTTTGTTTCATACAAAGTTGTTTTTTTTTCCTTTATCACAGATTCTTTATTGTTAACATTCACTCTTACAAATTGCTTTCGTTCTCCTGTCAAAACTTAGAGTACTCCGCTGAAAATTTACAAAACATGTTTGGCACACTTGAAATCGTACTCTTAACGTAGAGCCCAATTTCCAGGGTCTTCTTCCGTGGTTTCTAGTAAAGTATAGTGGTTGTAAAAAGTGGACGTATGAAGAAAACTTCATGACTTAGATATTCTCAAAAACGAGGAAAAACTGACGTCGAATGAGGACTTGCAAACATAATGTAACGATAATGACAATATCTTCGTGAGAGTTACGAAGGTAATTTGATGACACTGCCAATACCTCCTCCAGACGTTTCAGTCTAATTTACTTCGCTCTGCTACTAAGTCTCATGATAGATCATCCAGTAACTTATTTTCCTTTTGAACATGATATTGCCTTATCATTCACGCGCCATGAAAATCGCTATGTCATTTCTTTGTTATCTCCTTCGTACCACTTATGCAATTACAGAAAAGAAGTTGAGAAATTACTAAATTGTTACCAATCGATCTAAAATAGTCGAAGTAATCACCTTAGTGAAATTCAGACGGAATCCTCGAGCTCTTCCCAACGCATTATTAAAAACTCATTCTATTCAATCCTGCCATGGGTATGGAATTATTTCCTTAAATTCCATGATTGTGCTTGAGTACCCCCAATTCGTTACCAGCATCTGTTCGCGTTCTTCGGCTCGTTCAACACCTCTTTCTTCATCGTGCAGTTACCATGCGGCTTAATTGTTTTACATTACCACAGAACTCTGACAAGGTGTTATTAATCCTTGGGGTATGATAAATTTGTCTACTTTATTATCCACGTTCCTCTCCTCGTTCCCACACCGTACGCCTCTTACCGCGGAATGACCACCGCTAAGAGTACCGAACACTTTCTTGGAATTTCTTACACGTACCGTGGAGCCCAGTATTCATGCAAATGGTGGTCATATGGAGTCATTAGTGATAACGTGTCGCCTCGAAAATGTAAGAACATCTCTCGCGAGGACGAGTCAACGACGGTAACGTCTCCGTAGGAAATATTATTGAACGAGGTGTGTAATGCACAGTATGAGTTGCAATGAACGACCAGTTTCAATCATGTTACAAGATGAACACTTAAGACAACACCGTCGGAAAATTGATTCGGCCTCTAACTTACCTGATTCATTCTTCTTACTTTCTGCTTATTCGTATTTTCGTATGCATATAGTATCCGTTTTATTTGTATCAATTTTATTACAATAGTCGTCTTACTGTATAAGTTTTTACATAACAGTTTTGTTAATGTATAGTGTACAGTTCTGAATGAAATGTTCCATCATTTCAATAATATGTAAAAAGAAACTGATATATTGCGACAGAATGTTTAAGATCGGGTAGTACAACCGGGTAGGTTACTCTACGTAAGAAGACAAATCGAAAGTGAAGAATTCATCAGAAAACATGGTGACTTTATAGAAATTTCGACCAATGTATATGAAACGAAGATTAATAAAAAATATTATAATGCAAGCATCCGATCGATGATTAATGGGTATATTATGGTTTTTGTTGCAGTGCGGTAGCATGCTGCACGCACAGCTGGAAATTTGGAAAGCAGCCGTCGAAGAGTCACCGCGCAACACATTGGCGGCTTCCTGGAGCCCCGCTGGTGTTGTTCAAACCCCGGGCAACAACACAACAGGTTCGTCGGCTATTGGAAACGCGGCTAACGTCAGCGTCAAAGGCTCCTCCTGCAGCGTAGATTTCTCCGATGGTGAGTCGTTTCTTTCAAGTGTCATTTACACGCCTTCTAACATATGCTTCCTCAAATTAATAATCCCTAATAATTGCTGTGACACTCATTGATTATTCTTGCTAGCATTCATATTTAATATAAGTATTACAAAACTCTATAACATCGTTAAAAGAGATATTAATCTGCTGTTATTTGAAGAATACTCACGTTCACTGGGAGTAACAGACAAATTGCCTTTTCGTGTGATATAAAAGTATTCGTTTTTGTTCTTCAAAAGTATCAATCACGAAACACGAAATTAATCGCAGGACTGTAAAAAGTGTTCTACGAATCTCGAAATTTAAGGAAAGAATTTTTTAAATTTAAATTAAGAACTGCCGAAATTTTTATATCGAGAAATACATTGATATCTGAATTTCGAGAATGTTCGAAATGTTTCAATTTTGTCGCAAGTAGGACATTCGAAACTCAGAATTCCTTTAGGTTTTCTCGGGACTTTTTAACTGCATGATATATTATTTGCAATTCTAACCTAACGCAGATAAATCACGTCTGATGTTAACATCAATTTTCTATATTAAAATTTACAAATCACAAGTCGATTGCAATCTTCGACGAACATGAATATAATAAATATTTTCATAATGTTCTAAATAAATTCCTTGGGAAAGCATTAAAAATTACAGTTTCTGGACCGAACGGATACCCAACTAACATAATTATCACAACCGATCAAAGAACGCACTTTATATGCGGCGCAGATGGTCATTAAATTGTTATAATACTCCCGTAATTAGTCCATTACATTAAAAACTAATAACTCAAGACACATCAGTAATTACAAGTACCATGCATTAATATGCAAAACGCACATGTTCCCAGTCGAGCAACAAAAAATCGCAGTTTCTGATCGCGAGTAACAGTCTCACTAACTACCATTATCAAGATATACACCGTGTACGTGATTCAACGAAGACGTAAATTACATATAAAGTAACATTATATCATACAGCTACCACATTCATCTCATTACTCTAACGTAACGCACACGAAAACAACTATAATTACGAGCACATATTTAAGATGCTAACTACAGATGTTACCGATATAGACAAACAACAAAAAATCAGTGCTTCCGATCGCAACAAGCTACACCGAACTCATCTCCAGTTAATCGACAACATACACTATACACAAAACATGAAGACATCAAACCATTAAGTATGCCAATAAATAATGGATTATCGTTCGCCAAACGGCAATATTTCCATCCAATAAAATCAAACACACAGTCCGGGTTGTTATCTTGTATATTGTTATATTGTATCTCTTAATCATCATCTTTAACGAGCAAGATAATGAATCTTCGTCGATATACACCGGATACAATCGGCTAATAAACACACCTAATAATTTCCCAACTAATAAACAACGACAGTCCTACTAATCGAAGAAACCGAACCTAACAATCTCTCAAGCATGAAACGCCAGTAACCAAGAACCCCGCACGCCTACGCCCGACCTCGCAATGGACGTGAAACCGCCTACCGGCTGATCATACGGACGGGTATTCCCTGGATCATTTACAGAAAGGGATGGTGTCGGCTTTTTTCCAGACGAAGACGAGGACTGCGGTACCTCCCAAACCGGAGCAAGCGGCGGAGGTGGCGGCAGTGGCGGTGGAGGCGGAAAAATGCGAAACGGCGGCTCCCACATCCACTTGTGGCAATTCCTCAAGGAGCTGCTGCAAAGTCCAGCTGTCCACGGGTCCTGTATACGTTGGTTGGATCGGTGCAAGGGCGTGTTCAAGATCGAGGACTCGGTCCGAGTGGCCAGGCTCTGGGGCAAACGGAAAAATCGGCCAGCGATGAACTACGACAAGCTCAGCCGTAGCATCAGGCAATACTACAAAAAGGGGATCATGAAGAAGACGGAGCGTAGCCAGAGGCTCGTCTATCAGTTCTGCCATCCGTACTGCCTCTAAACAGGGGACGTTCCGAACCCTGCCTCTGCACTCGTTCCAGGTGTTACCTCGGGTTGAACACTTTCAGGATCATTCTATTTATTGCCGATGAAACGTGACCGCCTGGGCTGAAGCTGAGCTTCGCCTTCGCGGCTGAACAATTTCTCTCGGGTATATTTATTAAAGCGTGTGTAACGTGCCGAGGTAATATCCATGGGGGCCATTATCTCCTCGATTCCCTTTACTGGACGGCTAAGAGAGAGAGAGAGAGAGAGAGAGAGCGAGAGAGAGGGAGAGAGAGTTGGTCGCCGAATATCTGGCGACAGCCTTACCGATCCTGTCGGAATAATCACGCTGTGTGCGGTGCCTGATGCTTTATCGAGAGGCGAACACGAGTGCAAAGGGTTAACCCCCCTTTCCATCGATTCCAGATTCAAGGTCGTCGGTCGATTGCCTTGAGAGAGACTGCCGGTCGTCGAAGGGAGTCGCGACTAAGGGCTTCCGTCTCTTTCTACGTACAGTTCTTTTCTTATTTTCTTTTCTTTATTACTTGTCAATGACATGTGTCGCGAGTGAGTGTATGTGTGTGTATGCTGTGTGTTTGATTAAAGGAGAATCAGCACGGAGGTCGAAGGTAAACTCACCCCACCTCCTTATTTCTATCCCGATTTCTCTCTGTTGTAGTATAAACATCTTTCTGGTAATGTTAAGTTGATTCTGCGTTACACGAACCACAATTTCGCCGCGGTTTTTCGTTGGTCAAGAACGAACCGCGATTTTATTGTAGCCGCGTCCGCACGACGGGTAGGTTGATTCTGATGCCTTTCGACTGGTAATTTACTACACTTTCACCGGTACAATTAAGAATTTCGAAATATATATTTATTCGTTATTCGAACGTCGGTGATGAGACAGATCTAGGTCGAATGAATCAATAATGATTTCATCATTTCCCCATAGAATTTCCCGTCGGTTCGAATTTATTTTGAGTAATATGTTTTTCAAACGATAGCGTCAACATCGTTAGTGTACCAGTGCCACCTCATGATTACCAACGATCTATCATACACACAGTACTAAATACTAATGTTATACTAACGTAACGCCTAAGTAACGTAATACTTTAACACACTTAATCATTCGAGTAACTGTTACTATGCTGATATAATGTTAGTAGCATTACTACAGTATATCGCTAACAGGAATCCCATCCACAATAACAGGCTAGGCGTCGGTACTAAATCGGTATTATATACCGTTACGCCAACGTTCCGCGTGCTATTACCGCGCCGCGGCGCTGTTGATCTGGTACACAACCGGTGCAAAGACGCTGGTCGATACGCGGTAGGGATATTCGATTCACTTTCGAAAATCGATTCTCGAATCGAATCGTGAGGACCAATTCTTTTCAAAAATCAAAATAAAAAAATCGATTTTGCCGGAATCGATCTTAAAATTCTGAAAAATATTTAAATATTCATTATTTAATGTTTATTATTATTAAAATCAGAAATATATATATATATTAAGGTAATTATTATTAATTAATGTAGTTATATATATGCATATGATTTTTTATGATTTTTAGATTGATAATATATACATATGTAACCACAAAAAATGTACTTTTAGAAGTCGAAATCAAAGAATCAATCTAAAAATCATAAAAAAAATGTATACGTATGTATAACTATGTTTAATAATATTAATTATATTAATATATTATATGTATATATATCGTCCTGAATGTGAAATTTTATAAATTGTACACTCTCTTTTTTTACACTCTATAAATACACTAAGCTCTACAACTCTAAACGAGCTTAGAGTATCATCATTATTGCATTATTAGTGTTACATGTACATTCAATCGCGTTGGCATATAGTCAGGGACACAAAAAGATAGTCGTACCAGTTCTTAACCACAAACTAGAGATTTGCACGTTCATGGATTAGGCATAAGGACGACGATACATACATCCACATGTAATTAATATTCAACAGGATGGAATGGAGAAGTGGCTCAGAAGCTTTCAGTACAGAATACCTGAAATTAATAATTCTAAAATATTCTGCTTTTTTAAATTCAGATTATCTATTTAGTAAAATAGTAACATTAAATTTTTAATTATCTCTTATATATATTATTATTTATATATACTATTACAACGGTGGCCAAACTGCAGCTCGCGAGCCGCATAGGACTCCCAAAGCTACTCTGTGCGGCTCCCGAGACAATACTGAGTTTCATTGCCATTTTTCCTAAACTTTTGTACGAATAATCTATAATACAAAATGTAAATATAATTTTAAAATAATATTTTCTGTGGTTCTGGAACATTCAAAAATCTCTGAAAAGTATTATATGTGGCTCCTATTATCGAAGAAATTTCACATCCCTGGATTATTAATAATAGAACCACAGAGACCTCTCTATCCAGATGAAGGTTCAATAATGAAGTCGTAAAGTTTGAAAAACAATTGTTAGAAAGAAAAATTGGTTTTCGACTTTTGAAGTAAAGAATCTGAAAAATCGATCAGCGGAGAAGCGATTCAAAAGATCGATCTGTTAAAAAAGAATCAGTCTTTTAACCAAAATAATCGATCTTTTAACCAAAAGAGTCGATCTTCTGAAGAATCTAATCGGAATCGAACATCCCTATATTCGTGGCGGTCGAAAGGCGGACAGGATCGACACCATTTCGAGATATCGTTGGGAGGTACGTCCCGCGATTTCCCGAATTGCGCCCCCAACCCTCTCCCACCCACCCCGTCGAAAAACGTGCGGACGCTTTTGTTCGAGGACGGAAAAACAACGAGGAAAAAGATGTGATGTGAGAGCGCGCGGAGATTCGTTGGAGAAAAGGGAAGAAACACATTAAGCTCTTTCCTCTCTGTTCTCACGATTGCTTACCAGCCCCGGTCGCCAAAGCCTCGAGCTGCATATCCGAACCACGGGTCCACGGTCAGTGGACGAACCAGCGCCCGGAACTATCCGCTGTTGCCTGGCGCGTCCCCGCCATTATTTTTTTTTTTGTTTTTCATTTGTTATTTTTCTCAGAGAAAACCCGACGGTGCGAGATCCGAAAATCTCTCCTTTTGTGGTCGCGGACGGAAAATATCGTGTTCGATCGGAAGTGTGATAGTTTGAAGTATTAAGCGCGTCTGAAGATGTTGGTGTTGTATTTGTTAAAGAAACTTTTGTTTTTATAGAAACTGATACTATTTTTCTACGATGCGAAGTGTACAGTAATAACGTTTTTAGAATAATATTTATACGGAAAGTGGTGAGATTTTGAACGGGATTGTAGGTGATTATTTATATACTTAATGCTAAGATATCTTTTGTCCTATTTATAGCTTTATTCGTGTTCCCGGTGATCTTTGATGAATTTTTATACTCAAAGAAGAACGATTAAGACTATGAAAGTAAATGTTACGAAATATCTATATAAATTGCGAAAAATTTCAGTTGGTTCGTTGAAGTCTAAATTCCACTAAAAATTTATCAAGAATTTTCATAGTACAAATCAGATTTACGGAAATATGAATCAGTGACTGTAGAAGACTCTTACCAGGTTAACAACACCTTTTCTATTTCCTGGTAGTAATTTAAAAAGATATAGATTCAATAGAATTAGTAACACAAAATATACTCCTGTAAATATCACACATTATTACAAACATATTATTAAAGCATCGATTTTCGAAGTTCCAAAAAATACGAAAATATATTAACTAGTAAAAATTACTACATCATAAAATTCCTTACAAGACAAAGATACTAAAGCGTTAAAGTAACACTCTATTTACAACAAAAAAGGGAATTATTTTTCTAAATAAAAGAAAAGCAATATAAATTTTACCACTGTAAAGTGTACTTTCCATGACAAAGATAATATCAACAAATTCGCGTTATCTTTACAAAACATGAATCTAGACGTTAAATCAGTTTTCTATACAATGTTTACACTCAAAGAACGATCTTCTGTCATGCTGGCGGAAGAATTGAAAAAGTGCCTTCCGAAGTGCCTTCCCGTTTGACAGGGTGCGTTGTAAAAATCAAAAATCGCTCGCGATCCGTCAAGCGTCCTTTTGCGGGCACGTTGCCCGCAGGTCGAAGCGGAAAATCTCGTCGGCGCTGCGTGGAACGATCGACGGGCGATCGATTCGTCCTAGGACACGCGATTAGAGGCGTCTTCTCGCCCCCCCCCCCCCTGGGGGCGAGGGCAATGGAGCAAGCGGGATTTCTTTGAACGCGGTCTCGATACGGCGATCGTGGATAGCTCGAGGCGCGAACGTTTGCGCGACTGGTTCTGGTGATTTTGGTCCCATATATCTATGATATATTAACGTTGTATGTTCCATGAACGATCTAGCGTGTAAGTTCACTTTAGTCTGCGTAAGAATACCACACGAGCACGGCGACTCACGTGAGCCGCCGTTAAGTTACTCGAAGAGATTTCTCGTCTTCCCGTTTCTTTTATTACTTTTTTTTTCTTTTGTTTCTCTTCATCATTCTTTGTATGAATTTTCGTTTTTCTAACAAGTCGACAGGTTGGTTCCGTTTGAGGTGAAAGCACGTTTCTATCGCGTCTTTCGAGCGTGAATACACGAATGATTCGATAAGTTGAGGAATTATTTCTGGGACAAGGTATGGTGTCACGTGATCTTGAGTAATGTGACGAATTATCTGACGTGGATTCTCGTGATATTAGAAGATATGAATGGTTTATTGATCATTCGCGTTGAAGATAGACTACGTTGTGGAGCGGTGCTAGAGGTTTTATGGAAAAATCGATTCGCGATGTGGCCAACATCGACCATTTGCAACTTTTACTTGATTATTGTGTTACTGGTGGAAAAGGAATGAAATTAAGGAAAAGTTTAAAGATATTTGGATTCTTTACGGTGTTTTACTTTGAAAAATGAAGATTCATCGTGTACAATCTTCGTGATCGAGGTTTCTGATCGTCTAAATCTTCGCTATCTTTGACGTGAATGAACGATAATATTATCTT